ATAAGTGTCACCTGATAGATTAAATTAGTAAATTTCTAAGGCAGGTTTTTTTCAAACATAACTAAAGATTTTTTGAGTTATTAGGGTTTGTGGAGGAACATAGTCAACTAATAAGTGAGCTTTAACAATGGGTTAGCTTGGGTGAAAAAATAAAATAATATCATTTAGTCCTTTTGGTGGAATTGAGAAAATTATTATTTTGAATAAACCAAGGAACAAAGACAAACTGATTGGAAGGCCTGAATAATTCTTAAGTGAAAATATTTGGCAGAGCSGCCCTATATCTAAACACCACAGAACTACACTAGTCTGATAACAGTTTATTACTAAATGATATCTTAGATCAGAAAAGTGGGTAGAGTAGGTTGATTTTTCTATTTTAAGTAGATATCAGGCATCAGCTCTCCATTTGTTTTATCTTTCTGACCCACAACTAACATAGCAAACAGAACCAATCCTGTGTTGTTTAGTAAGTGTTAAGGGTACTCTGTTGGGTACCTATGTCATTCTAACTGATTTGCTCAATTTTAATTAAATTATGAGTATTTTGATATGTAGTCAAATTATGAATATTGGATATTTGTAATAGAATAATAGAAGTATAGGCCTACAATATAAATATTACAAAAATTAATATATTTATCTTAGATTATTACGAGAAATAAATGTGATTATAATTATTATCAGATCATGTTAAAGCACGCAACACATCACAAATGATTATAAATATTAAAATATATGTTTTATTTTATTACTATTTTTAATTCATGACAAAATAGTAGTTTGGAGATCTCAATTGCTGATAAAAAAAAACCTTTGAAAAATGAACTTATTTAAGTTTTTTTGGAATGAAATATTTTTTTTTTAACCACTTAAATTTATTACTAGTCAAGTAAGACTGCTGGGAGCCTTCCTATTCTATAGTTAATGGTATTTTATGTCACCACACTTAATCATTATATCTTGTCTGTATAGATTGTAAATAAAATAAATAAATAAAATAAGAACTACTTAAATATAAGGTTGTAAAATACAATAAAAAAAATAAGTACCTATATAGGGAGGGGACTAAATAAATATATTATTATATATATATGTACATTTTATTTATACATCATACTTACAGATTCATATTGCCATGGCCCATCAACAGTTCCTAATGGACATACAACTAATTTTACATTTTGCCGATCAGCAAAAATACAACGTTCACCAACACCAAGCTGTCCTTTTGTATTCAATCTAAAAAGCTATAACCAAATTAAAAAAAAAAAAATGTATTAGTGCACAATTTAAAAAAAATAAATATTTTTCATATTTGATATTTTAATAAGGTACAAAAAAAATATTTATTTATTTATCCTACAAAAATCAGAGGGGTTTTAAATGAATCAAATTTCCTAAGATAAATAATAATCAAAAGATAGGTTAATATGTAAGAGTTTGAATAAATTAAGAGGCGCAGATTGTTTTACCCAAAATCAACCTTTCCCATTTTGACAATTTTAGTTGTTGTAATATTAAGTTGGTTATTTTTTTAAATAATATATTATATTATTATTATAATTTATAATTATTGTTTGCCAAAATGTTGGTTAAGTCATCCCAAAAGTTTGTAAAAATCCATATTAAATAATACACTATTACAGTAATAATACAAATTACAAATAATAATTATTATTATCTACCAAAAACTATTTAAAAAAATTGTCACAACTACAAGTCTGTATAATAAATAATTTGTTTTTCTTCAACGTGGTTTTCTCTGTATAAGGTTAAATGAAACTCAAATATTATTTAAAATATTGTATAATGTTTTTTTTTTATACATACTTTTTAATAGACAATAATATGAATTATTTAAAAATTGTTGAGATGACAACAATTTTACTAAAGAATAATAATATATTATATTATTTAAAACCCGTTGATAACTTTATTCTAAAACAATTAAAATAGCTTTAGTTTTGGGTTTGGTAAAGGATGTAAAGGTAACAGGTCCTGGACAATTTAGATACAAAAAGTTAATTTAAAATACCTTTTTATCCTTTTTTTTTTCATTATAATCACAACTACTATTAAATTTTAAATTACACAGTGAAATATCGTTGATTATTTCAATTTCCTACAGTACTACATCTGCTGTTTCAATGTATAATAATTAAATAAATGTACTTTATGGATTTTTTGCCAAAGTGACAGTGACAGTAAATGATTGTTAATGACAGAATTTAAGACCAATTAAACGAGTATGGAAATACTACCACAGATTATATAAAACAATATAATATAATAATATATAATTATTTATATAATCTGTGATACTACAGTAAGTTTAAACAATACTATACTTAAATGCGTGAATTATGGTAGACTACCGAAAAGTCCGGTATATATAATTGGATAAAAGGAAAAATGTGATACATAGTTGAACATTCCATTAAGTATTAATTTAAATTAGAACTAGGTACTGTAATTGTGTATGATTTACTTGAAAAAATAAATCATTAAAATATATAATGTATATTGTTTTTGAATGAATAATTTTGATTTTTTTTATATAGGCAATGCCAGTAATGATAATTATTGTTTTATATTTTAAATATTATTCTTTGTATACCAAACTCATTTACCGCAATTTGTGAATTATGTTATGTATAAGGTCTAAAAACCAGAAATATACAATTTTGAAATAATTAAAACTTAATGGATAAGTACCAACCAACAAAAAATATTGAAACTATTCTCTAATTCACTAGTACAAAAAGTGGTAAGAAATGTGGACATCTAACAATTTGATTTTTCTTAATATYAACAAATCCTACAAAATTTTAATGTAATGACTACCGATGAGAGTTGTAAGATAATCAACACATACAATTCTTTTAGAATTTTTGTTCAATAATATCTATTTTATTTAAAGCTTTTAATTTATTTTGTGTAATTTACCACAACATACACATAACGTCACTGGTTCCTTACTATTTTAGTAATTATATTTTATGAAAGTGAAAAATTAAAATTTTTAATGTGTAGTCAGATATATTGCTTATATTTTATAGTATTATGTGTATACCTAATAGGAAATGTATACATTTTACTCATAAGTACTAATCAACCAATAAAAAATAATATCACATTATTTAATAATTAAATTTAAATTTTATTCTAAATATAAAAATGTAACTAACATTGTTAAAAGTTTAGCACCTTAAAATCAACACATACAGAGTGTCCCGCGAGGATTTACTCATTGTGATATTTCCTTAGATAATAAATATATCATAAATCTATTTTTTTTTGTTAGACTCACATAGACAAGGGATACATTTTTATTCAATTAATTTAAGGTTAAAAAATGTTGACCTTTCAATATTTTATATTCATTAATCACATGAATTTTTTTTTATAAATAAATCGGCAAAAAACGGGATTTTATCTGAGTGGTAAGTCTCCCTCTACGGCTAACTGGTATATCCTCACGGGACACAATTGTAAATCATAATATATCTATAATCTCTTAAATGCAGTGTTATGTTTACTAATATATTATAGTAAAAATATTTAAGTTTTTCTTATGGTGGTAGTATAAAGTATACATATATTATAATCATAAATGTTTATATTAATTGTTTACCTGATTGTTTCCTTGTCCATGACATAACTCTACACCTACTAATGATGGTGGTTGATGACCTCTGGTATCTAAACAAGTCATTTTGCCGACATTTTTTAACTAAAGATAAAACTTGTGTTATTAAGTTATCAAGTTAAAATATTTTATACACAATCAAATAAATTA